TGAATAGCGATGGCGACGAAGGTGGCGATGACGACGGCAAGGCCAAGGACGGCGCCGACGCTGATGGTTGTCCTAAGACTTCGCAAGAGCACGCGAAAACTGTTTTTGCCCATCAGCGTTGCGAAACCATGTGTGCTTTGGCACTAGATTCGAAACCCTTACGAAACATCAAGTTTGTTTCAACGATTTCGGCTCGCGCGCGCGACCACGCGCGCGCGCACTTCGCCCATCTTTTGCAAGGAGCTCTCGAAAACGGATGACTCATGATAAACGAGCGCGCGCATAACATGTCCTCCAAAGGGTGGCGGGGGGCGCCGATACCGAGCCCCCTGGAACGGCGCGAACTCATACTTTGGATGGACGACGGAGCAGAATCACAAGCAAATTGCCACACGGAAAGGGGCGCGGATAATCTCGGGGGGGAGATTAAATCGATTGTCGCATTAGAAAAGATAACCAACATAGCGCAATGCATGTAACGCGATCCACGTTGTGCAATCGACGAGGTGAAGATCGCGTAGAACGGTGCATGGGGTGCCATCTACGTCGCGCAGTATACGAGGTGCAATCTATGTTGCAAAATCTACGTTGTGCACTCTACGCGGTGCAAGTGACTCCCCTGCAGCGCGCTCGCCCCCATGCTCTTGCAAACGCCCCACCCGCCCACCCACAATTTGTTTTGCAAAATCCACGCGGCAGCATTTGCGATGAATGCTTGGCGTTGGCCGGTGCATCTCTGCGGCGGCGCCTGCCCGCGCATGCGCGCGCAACGGCCAGCTAGTTTGGCGCGACCGACGCGGCCGCGGCGGCGCTGACCGCCGGGCACTTCCCAGCGGGCGCTTCGGCGCGAGTCGGTGACTTTGGCGGGCGCGGTCGCACGGCGACGCCGACAACGGTAGACGCGATTGCGAAGGCAGCGGCGGCGACGAAGGCAGCGGCAACGACGGCAAGGCCAACGACGGCGCAGACGTTGATCGCGCCCGCCGACAACGATGACAGCGTCCTAGAGTCGGCGACAAAGGCTTCGGAGAAAAATTCGACATGCGCGCGCGGTCGACGCCCGCGATTGGCCCGCGCGGCGTTATTTGATTCAGATTGCGCCCCCCCCACACCCCGGACGCGCGCAAGGGCGCGCGAATGAGCTCGACATGCAGCGCGAGAGGCCCGTTTGGCAAAAAATGATGAAAATGTCGGAGAACCGATGGATTGCTTCAGAATCCGCACGCGCGCGATCGCAAGATTGTTTCAAAACGGATTTTCCAAAACAGAATGTTTTCACGTTTCCGGGGCATTCGACTTTGAAGCCCTTACGACACGCAAGGCGTTTCAAAGATTCCAGCACGCGCGCGCGACAACGCGCGCGCGCACTTCGTCTCATTTGTTGCAACGAGTTCTTGCAACAGCACGCGCGCATTGGCGCTCGACCGATTTCGACGCGCGCACGCGAGAGGCCAGCTTATAAGCATGTTATGAAAAAAGGTTGAAAAAAACCAAAGGTCTGCAACCTGTCGTTGCAATACCGTGTGTCTTCTATATGTGTCGTGACACTCGATTTTGACATCCTTGCGAAACCGAAGGTTCTGCAGGGATGGCGGCATGCGCGCGCGACGACGCGCGCATGTGCACTTCGTTTGGATGTTGCATAGGATTCTTGTAAACGGATGGCTTGTGATAAACGAAAATGCGCGCATAGCATGCGTTGCTGAGGATAGCGAAAAGTGTCGATGCCGGTCTGGCTGCGATGGTGTGAATTCGTATTTAGGATGGACGATGGGGCAGAATCGCATGCAAATTGCAATAGCATCGTTAATTTCAGGGGGGGGGCGAATCTATTACTCTTTCAAACCGGAGAATAGACGTGGTGCAATTTACGTGGTGCGAAAGTGCGCAATCAACGTTGTGCAGTTTGCGTGGTGCATGTATGCAGGCAATGCAGAATACAGTTTGCGATATATGTCGTGCAACGTTTGTTGTGCAATGCTGATGGTGCAAGATATGTGTATATGTATGTTTATATATGCGGTTGTGCAGCATATGTTGGACAGTCTGCGTGGTGCGATATATGTTGTGCAACTGAGCGATCAAAACGCGCGCTGCGGGCGCGATGTCTGTTCGTACAGTCTACGTGAACCAATCAAACGGCGGCGGCGGGCGGCGACGAGGCGGCGACGGGGCGGCGGCGGGGCGGCGACGGCGGACACATCGCCGCCAGACCGAAGACGCGGCCCAGACCACGGGCGGCGACGAGGCGGCGACGGTGGCCACATAGCCGCCAGACAAAAGACACGGCCCAGTTCCTTAGAACACACATTAAAACCTCTAAATGCAATCAATGTTTGGGGAATCGTGCCGTGTGGGGCACAAGTGCACACCTCATCGGACGCGGAATTCCATATGGGCCATGCGCGCACGTGGAATGGGTAGCATCCGGATCACTTCATGCGGCAAACATGCCTTGACGTTACAAGTGCGCGTTGTGAGAAACCCGATCATAAAGTACCATGCGGACTACACGCGCGCACATGCCAAAATCAATCAGACACCCTATGTTGCTTTAGCCGCTCATACAGGAATGTGTTTGAACCTGGGCTGTTGAAACCACAGAGAACACGTGTACTCTAAAAATCTCGTTTGCGATATCCGCCACCGCTCTTGCAGCGGTTGGCGTGCGTCGGGCCCTCCTCTCTTTGACCACAACAATGAGGGCCCCCGACGCATCGAGACCAAGCTGCGTTCATTCTTGTGGCCAGGTCCCTGCGTCTTTGGCCTTCCCGGAAGATCCCAAGTACAAAGCTTGGGGACGGGGGGGTCGGTGCCCCCCCCCCCCCTATGGCCCCCCCAAAGGCCCTACACCACACACCCCCGCGCCCGCCCGAGCGCGATGGCGGAATCGCGCGGCAGCGCAGATGGATATCGAAAGCCACTGGCTGTCAAGTAATAGCCTTGCACTCCTTCGTAATACAGTGCCGCGCAACGCATCCACACCCCACATATGCTCCAAGCAACGCGCACTGCATCAGCTCGCGCACGGCAGATCCGGCCGCCGCCCCCGCTCCCCGTGCAAACTGGAGGCGGCGCTGCCGCGGAGTCCCACGCGACAAGGGTCACACGCGCTGGTGTCCTACGGATCCCACACTTGAATGCATGATGCCCCGCCCGACCCGACCCGCCCGCCAGTCCGTCCCGCCCGTCAGGGTACGACCGCCCGAGCCGCCTGGGGTTAGGTCGGGCGTGTCCCCCTACAGGCGGATTTTGGGCGAATGTATATATATATATATATATAACAAAAAAAGATACCCAGCGAGAGTTAAAAAATGCTCAACCAATCGTCCCCAGACTATTTGTTTGCCTACTTGTGGATATTCCCCCTGTGGAGGGACGTGCCCGACGTCAGCCTCGGGTCCGTCCGCCCGCCACGCCCGTCAGGAGCCGCCCGCCCGCCCCGACCCGCCCGCCCAGGCTCCTGGCCGCACGCGAGTGGACTCCTCTGGTCGGGGTGGCTGGCTGCTGAAATGCGCCCACATGCTACAGTCGGGGCGTTGACCTAAGGAACCCTAAATAAGGAGCGCGGCCCCTTTTTCCCATAAGTTGAACCTCGACTTCCCAGCGAAAACCTAAAGGAAGACATAAGACAAACGGTGGAACAATTCAGGAACAGGGAGCCCCTCCCCAACGAAAAGGGTTCCTTCTTCAGCGCCCCGACTGCATCACCTCTCACTTCAGGCACACGTCGTTCCTTCCTAATCCTGCCCATTTCTCCTTGTGCTCGTCTCTAAGTGTTCCTGGCCACCTAGTGGCCAGGAAGAAGCCCAGGAGAAAACAATTAGGAATGAAAGGATCTTGCCCCCCACAACTTTCAAAGAATTAGAAATGAACAGTGTTTGTGGACTATGGCGATTAGCTAACATGCTGTGCGTAGGGGTGGACGGACAGCAGGAACAGAAGGTGAGGAAACGCGGTACGTAGGGCGAGGGCCAGCCGCGGAGGAGAGGGCAGGATCCTTTTCAGCAACCATGCTGCCCCCTACCGTGCACTACCCCACTCACCCCTGTTGCATTCGCCCCTTGCCGAGGGGAAACGATAGGGGGGGAGGACTGCCTCAGGGGAGAAGCACCGACCTGGAATCGGCGCCGCATCGCCGATAGATCGGCGGCAGGACCTCGACGGGAAAACCGCACGCTCCTGGGCGGGGCGAGGGGCATCGGGCCCCCGTCCGCGACGACCGGGCGATTGGGGGTGGACGCGGTTCCCCTGAGCCCACCATCTCCTATCTTGAGCAGGGACCGACAGCGCCGGCACTCCTACAGGCCTGCCACGACAACTTCGCAGAACCCAGAGATGCTCTGAGAGCAACAACAATGTTCTCAGAACATAAGCCCGATATGAAACAAGCCAGCCTCAGCCAGAAATGTTCTAAGAACATTTTGTTGAAACCACAAAAGGTTCTTAGAACATTATTTGGTAGGCCTATAGGCGGGCCAGAACGCTTCGCAACTGCTTGACTGTCGTTGCCCTGTCAACTCGGGTCATCACTCGCTTCTCTGGCGGCCGTTCGGGACGATCCCCCCGGCGGGACACAGCTGCTGGAAGAGCACCCCGAGGCCAGGAAGCCGCCGAGAGAAAACCTCAGACTTCAAACCCAAAACTCGTCGTCATCATCATCAGCATCATCAGCATCATCACCATCAGCATCATGATCACCACCACCACCACCACCACCATCATCATCATCATCATCATCATCATCATCATCATCATCATCATCATCATCATCACAATCACCATAAACATCATCATCATTATCATCATCATCATCGTCATCATCATCAGCATCAGCATCATCATCATCATCATCATCATCATCATCATCATCATCATCATCATCATCATCATCATCATCATCATCATCATCATCATCATCATCATCGTCCCTTCGGCCCCAGCCCGCCCCCTCCATGCGTTCGATTTCCAGGGGCAGTTCGGGCGCCTGGCCCCGCGGGTCACCGCAGCCGCAGCAACCTCCGCAGGGGAGACGCCTCCGCGGCGCCGGCGGGCATCCGGAGCTGCTGCAAGACCTGCTCGGCAGCCTGCCGCACGGCTGGGTCGGCGTCCTTCGAGCAGGCCGCCAGGCGCCGCAGCTCGGGGGGCATCCCCTTCTGCGGAGCGGCAGCGACCTCGCGGGCGTCGCCCGAGGTGAACGACGAAAAGAAGCGCGCCTTACGCGAGAAAACGTGGCGACTTTACGCCGTGGTTTAGGAGGCCAGCAGCCTGGCACACCGCACGGAGGCGAAGGCGCTCGTGCGCGACCTTGCTCGGGGAGCTTGAGGCCTCAGCCAAACCAATGAGGCCACAAGGGTTTCCAAAACACCCTGCGATCCAACGTCGCGGAAAAAATGCAACACCGCGGCAGATCACAACCAGAGCCCCAGACCCCGCTGCATGTTTCGTGGCCCCCCCTAAAAAACGTAACTGAAATTAGCCTGGCGAAGGACTCAACCATATGCAGTCGTGGGTCCCGCCATTGTGAGTATCTTCTTCGGCGGCACACCTTATGGGGCCACGAAACGTGTGAGGGGGTGTGCCGAAATGGGTGTAGGGGACGCATGCGGGCGGCAGCACTGGGGCCTTCGGTGGAGCTCCCTATGAGGCCACAAAACGCGTGAGGGGTGTGCCGAAATGGGTGTAGGGGACGCATGCGGGCGGCAGCCCTGGGGCCTTCGGTGGAGCTCCCTATGGGGCCACGAAGCGTGCGAAGGGTGTGCCGAAATTGATGTAGGGGACGCATGCGGGCGGCAGCACTGGGGCCTTCGGTGGAGCTCCCTATGGGGCCATGAAACGTGTGAGGGGGTGTGCCGAAATGGGTGTACGGGACGCATGCGGGCGGCAGCACTGGGGCCTTCGGTGGAGCTCCATATGCCACGAAACGTGTGAGGGGTGTGCCGAAATGGGGCGTAGGGGGACGCATGCGGGCGGCAGCACTGGGCCTTCGGTGGAGCTCCCTATGGGGCCACGAAACGTGTGAGCTGCGGAAATGGGTGGGGCGCGGCGGTGGGGCCTGTCCCTATGGGGCCACGGGGAGGGTGTGCGAAATGGACGCATGCGGCGCATGGGTTCGGTGGAGCTCCCTATGGGCCACGAACGTGTGAGGGGTGTGCCGAAATGGGCGTAGGGGACGCATGCGGGCGGCAGCTGGGGCCTTCGGTGGAGCTCCCTATGGGGCCACGAAACGTGTGAGGGGTGTGCCGAAATGGGTGTAGGGGACGCATGCGGGCGGCAGCCCTGGGGCCTTCGGTGGAGCTCCCTATGGGGCCACGAAACGTGTGAGGGGTGTGCCGAAATGGGTGTAGGGGACGCATGCGGGCGGCAGCCCTGGGGCCTTCGGTGGAGCTCCCTATGGGGCCACGAAACGTGTGAGGGGTGTGCCGAAGGACGATGATGATGATGATGATGATGATGATGATGATGATGATGATGATGATGATGATGATGATGATGATGATGATGATGATGATGTTGATGACGATGATGATGGTGATATTGATGATGATGATGATGATGATGATGATGATGATGATGATGAATGATGATGAGAAGATGGGGAGGGAAAGAGGCGGAGGAGGAGGGAGGAGGAAGGAGAGGAACGCGGGGCACCGTCTCTTCAAAACGAGGACCCAACACCACAGGATGGATGGGAACAAATGAGTGCGTTTAGATGCGATCGCGCCCAGGTGCATGCGAGAAGCCCATCGTATCTACTTTTCTGCAACGACGACAATATAGATATGATGTTTAGATGCGCGCCCCCAGCCTGCGCGGGAGCGCCGCCGTATCTAAACGCATTTATGTGTCAAGAATGTCTTAAAAGTTGGGACCGTATCAATCCCTTCAAGAAACATATGTACATATATATATATATAGTCCTTCAAGAAACAGATGCATATATGTATATATACATATATATATATATATATATATATGTAAACATAGATTCGTAACTATTTGTTTCAAATAATGACAGCGCCGCGCCGTATACATATACATCTATATATTCGTAACAAATTTTGGTCCGAACGAATGCTGTCGGCTGTGCTCTCAGCACGAATCAGATCCATGATATTGGTCGAAGCAATGATGAACAACGGGATGGGGATAGTGGGAAGCCGTAGCGATGAGGAGTGAGGAGACGAGCGACGACGACAAAAACGACGAGGAGTAAGATGGATAGCAACGACGAAACGAAATTCAGGAGAGAACTGGGTCGGAACAGGGAAACGTAGGATGGGGAGAGCAAGGAGGAGGAGGGAGAGGAGGAGGAGTGATTCGGACGATGAGCGCGGACAAGGAGGAGGAGGAGGGCGCGCGGCGAGGAGGCAAGAGGAGCGAAGTAAAGTTGGAGGGAGCGTCAGAAGGAGAACGTGGAGGAGGGGGAGTCAGGACGGGGATGAAGTCGATCAGCGATTGAAGATAATGTTTTTTCTGCTTCGTCCTCCTCGTCATCATGATCGTTCGGCTCGCCAGCCGCCCATGATTACCCACTTCAATTCCTCTTCCTCCTCCTCCTCCTCCTCCTCCTCCTCCTCCTCCTCCTCCTCCTCCTTCTCCTCCTCCTCATCATCATCGTCGTCATGACTGGCATGTGAACTGTCTCCCTGTGATTGAGCGGCCTAGGCCTGGCAGTGGAGACGCGGCGCCGTATCTATTCGTATCTATGTTTGGTAGACATGTTTTCCAGCGATGGGCGCCAGATTGAGCCGTATCTATACAGATCTAAACATATCTATTCGTATCTAACAATAACCCCGTATCTAAAATGTTGGTTCATTGTTGTAGTTTTGCTGGTTCATAGTAATAATATAAAAAAACTATATAATATATATATATATATATAAACTATTTATATATACAAAAAAAAAAAAAAAAAAAAAAAAAAAAAAAAAAAAAAAAAAAAAAAAAAAAAAAAAAAAAAAAAAAAAACGCCGATCCGGCGTGTGAGTTTCTGAGAGCGTGGGCTTGAGCTCGCTCAAGCTTCGCTCTGCAAGGGGGGGGCGCAAACGACGAAAGAATTGACACGCAAGGCCTCCCCAATGCCAGGACCGCCCCCCCCCCCTTCCTCTCCGGCGCCCCCCCCCCCCTCTCTTCCTGCACACCCCCCCTTCCCCTGCAATCTCCTCTCCGCCCCCCCGTCCCCTCTTCCTGCACCCCCCCGCCTCTGCACCTTCTCTTTCCCCCAGCTCCCCCCCACCCTTCCTGCGCCTTGGACAAGAGAGAAGGGGGGGAGGGGAAGGGAAAGGGAGAGAGGGGGGGACAGAAAGGGGTGGGGGGACAGGAGAGAGGAAGGGGGGGGGAGACAGGAGACAGGAGGGGCGGAGAGGGGGGGGGAGAGGGGGGGGGGTGGACAGGAGAGAGGAGGGGGAGGGGGGACAGGAGAGGGGAGGGGGGGGTGAAAGGACAGAGGGGGGGGGCCAAGCTAGGTGCGCTCGCGTCATATCTGACATCCTACCCCTCCCTCCCATCCCTTACCATGGCGCAGATCCCCTCTCTACTCGCACAGTCGGATGTCGAGCAGGGCAATGATCCCGAAAGGGTACACGATGCAGCGATGCATTGTCATTGTACAGCACGGCAAGGCATGGCGTAGACGAGCACCGCGAAGCGTAGTATCAACCTAGCATTGCATCGCATGCCGTGGCATGGCACGGGAAATGACGCCAGCGCTGCAGCGGGAGCACGAGTCGAAACGAGCGGAAGCGCGGAAATGAGGCCAGCGCTGCAGCGGGAGCACGACTCGGAACGAGCGGAAGCACGCCAGAATCGGCCCGGGAGGCTTCCCGGGCGCCGGAAGCAGAAATTTAGCAGTTTCAAAAGAAAAATGAACTTTTTTCGGTTTTTTTCGGCGCCGCCTCGGAACTCGATTTTCCGGCGCCGGCCGGAACCCGCTCCGGACCCGGCCCGGGCGCCGGCCCGGGCGCCGGCTCGGGCGTCTGGCCCGGGCGCCGGCTCGCGCGCCAGCCCGGGCGTCGGAATCGGCCCGGGAGGCGTCCCGGGCGCCGGAAGCAGAAATAGAGCATTGTGTATTAGAATGGCCTTTTTTCGGCGCCGCCTCGGAACTCGATTTTCCGGCGCCGGCCGGAACCGGCTCCGGACCCGGCCCGGGCACCGGCCCGGGCGCCGGCGTCTGGCTCGGGCGCCGGCTCGGGCGCCAACCCGGGCGTCGGAATCGGCCTCCCGGGCGCCGGAAGCAGAAATTTAGCATTTTCAAAAGAAAAATGTGTTTTAGAATGGCCTTTTTTCGGCGCCGCCTCGGAACTCCATTTTCCGGGGGCGGCCAGAACCCTGGCCCGGCTGCTCCGGACCCGGCGGCCCGAGCGCCGGCCCGGGCGCCGGCTCGGGCGTGCAGCCCAGGCGCCGGCGGAAATGAGGCCAGCGCTGCAGCGGGAGCACGATTCGGAACGAGCGGGGCCCGAAACTGAGGCCGGCGCCTCAGCGAGAGCAGCATTTTGGAGAACAAAAAAAATGCAAGCGAAAACCCAACTCTGGGGAAACCTGTGTGTTAAAAAACAATACGCGGGGGGTGGTCGGCTACTCCCATTCTGTCATCAGGGGAAGAGGGAGAGTAGTATTCATATTGAGTAATTGTACAAGAGAGAGAGGGGGGGAAAGGAGTGAGGGGGGGGAAAAAAGAGGAGTGGGAGGGGGCAGGAGAGAGGGGGGGGACAGAGAGAGGAGGAGGGGGGAGGGAAAGGAAGAGGGGGTAGGAGGGACAGAGAAAGGGGTGAGGGGGACAGGAGAGAGGGGTTGGGGGCCGGGACATCACATCTCCGTCACCATCACCATCACATCGTCACATCACCACCATCATCATCATCATCATCATCATCATCATCATCATCACCATCATCATCACATCATCACATCACATCATCATCATCAGTCGTCATCACACCACCAGCACAATCACACCACCACCACCACCACCACCACCACCACCATCATCATCATCATCATCATCATCATCATCATCATCATCATCATCATCATCATCATCATCATCATCCGGAGCGCCCCGGATCGGCGGCACTGGCCAGAGGCCACTACAATATGAGATCGTATCTAAACGCATCCAAGTTTGAGAAACATATCTACGCGTATCAATTGTGATTCATGAACACGCCGT